TGCCTTTGGGCGGGCTCCTGGAGCGCTGGGGCGTGGTCGGGGCCGGCCTGGCGGGCTTGCTCTGCTTTCCGCCTTTGTCTGGCTTGCCACCCTTCTGGCCCCCCTTGCCCTGCGCTCCCGGCTTGCCTCCTCGCGAAAGCGCGTACCCCTGCGATGACGCCGGGCCGCTCGTCTGCTTCGAGTTGGCCCGGTTGACCTCCTCGGCGCGCTGCTTGACCTTGTGCGAGGCGTCTTCCAGTACGTCACGATCCAGCCTGCACAGCAAGACCTCGACCTGGTCGCCCTGGCCCTGCTCGAGGGCACGGGCCGGCTTCTGGCGGAGAAGCAGGTCGTAGTAGAACGCAACCCTCGTGCCGCCGCGCTCCTCACACAAGCGCGCCAATTGCATCTCGTACGCCCAGTACTGCACGGGCGTGATCACCTTGGAGAGAACCATTTTGGTGCCCCATTCGTGGAGGTGACCGAGAAAATTCGCGAAGCCCATGAAGCCGATCCGCTCCTCCATGGCGCGGGCCCGCTTCGCTTCCCGGGCCTCCGCGACTTTGTCACCGATGGTCCCGTTGCCCACGAGGACGTCCAGTTTAGGCGTTTTCGAAAACCCTGGGCGGAAGTTCGCGAGCAGATCTTCTCCCTCAGAGGAACCCACCCATTTTTGGCCCTTATCCCTGGCAATCTTCGCCGACGGGAGATTTTCCATCCGGAGCAGAGCCTCTTCTGTGGGAAGTAAATCTCCTTGGACGCACCGGAGCTCCACTTCAGCGATCCTGTCCTGCAAGTTGAAGCTCCACGTCCCGCGCTTAGCTTCTTTCTCCGCCTTGGCGTTTTGCACCTTGGTCCACTCTGCAATGGCCTGGGCAGTCTGGTCCGCGGCGCTGCTGGAGCCCGGGCAGCCCGACGGGAACTCACGCATCGCCTTCGTTTGGACCTTGAGGGCCAAGGTGATGTGGGCAGGTTTGAGCTTGAAGTTTTCCCATTGCTCATCTTGGTCCTGGTCGAAAGGAACAGCGTTCACTTGCAAGCTACTGATGGCAAAATCACGCATCTTCTCTTCTGCGTAATCAGTGGGCTCCACTGACCCAATGGACTCGGCGAGCGCCCGGGCCGTGACCGCGTAGAAGATGAGCGGGTGAGTATCTGCTGGGGCATCCTGCACAGACGCCACGAACTGCACCCGCTGAGCTACCTTGTCGTTCCCGCTCCCGCCGAAAGCGCCCTGCCCTGCAGCAGAGACCATGGCGCGGACGTCGCTGTCTGCGAAAGCCATATTGAGTGTGGCCTTTAGAATGAGTACTTGGGACACCTTTGCTGGGCCGGAGGGGTCGAGTGAACTTGGCAGCACCTGTCTTTCTGAGCCATCACAGCAACGAGCGCGTGTAGGAAACACGGGGTAATGTCGACGACGCCTGGACCCCTTGGCAACGCAACTGACACGGGCATCCCTCTGTGGCACATGGGCGCACCACTGTTTCAGGCTTTCGAGCACCCCCACCTGCGTCCAGCAGCCATTTTTCCGATCGCGCCCACCTGTCACAACGGCACGTCGGCCGCTTGAGCCGCAGCGCGAAGGAAAGAAGGGGAGAGAGTCCTCCGCTCCGCTCCGCCTTCCCTGGACGCAAATTCGCACAGCTCTCGCTGCTGCACATCCCGGCGACCCCCCTTTGACGTCATCGCGGCCAGGGGGGCCACTCGGGTCACCTTGGAGCAAAACCATGCAAGCTACAGCAGTGCCACGCCGATCCCAGTCGAACCCCTTTGACCGCTCAGCGGCCAGGGGAACTACATGGGTCTCCCTGCTCCTCCCCCTTCCGCCGGGCCAGAATGAGTAGAGGGAGTCATTTTCAGCGTACCAAGGCCTATTTTGGCCAAGTGACAGCACGCGAGGGGGCTTCCGCTCATCCCACGCTAATGCGGACGGACGTCATCGCCCTGATTTTTTTCGGACTGCCCGAAAATTGCGCCTAAGAATCGTAGCGGACAGAATGGCCAGCGACCAGAGCCCAATTTTCACGAGCTACACCAGAATTTAATTCTGAGTTCTCTGGTGAAAGGGCGTCAGCATCGATATTCCGACTACGCGCCGTTTGGGACGCGGGCCCCCCGGGGTCGGTCGAGGACGGGCGTGCTGCACAAGTGCAAAGCACCCCCGCCCCCGTTGTGTGCAGGTGGGGGGTTAGCCAATGCCCCCCCATCAAGGACTAGCTTCTGCCGCCTGCACACATCCGACCCCGAGTGCCCAGAGTGTCCGTAGCCACTCTTTCTAGCGCGTGCGGTCCGCGAAATCGCGCCCCAGACGATTGTCTTGCAGCAATCCTCTGAGATTCTCCAGGGTCCTCAGGAGCGCGAATTTGCGCTCAGATTGCGAATCTGGGCGGTGCCAGAACGCAATGAGCCCAGAATGCAATTCTTGGCGCGCGGACGCGAGCGCAAAGATTGCGAATCTGGCGCGCCTCGGCGCCAGAACGCACGAATGAGCTCAGACTGCAATTCTGAGCGCGCTGACGCCCAGGCGCGCGAATTCGCTCAGAATGCGAATCTGGGCGCTTCGTACATATCTGGGCGCGCCCTGGCCCAAGACCGCAGCATTGAGCACAGATTGCAATTCTGGGCGCGCGGGCGCCCAGGAGCGCGACTTTGCGCTCAGACTGCAAGTCTGGGTGCGCCCCAAACGCAGACCGCATAGTTCACCCCAGAAGGCAATTCCAGGCGCGCGGGCGCCCAGGAGCGCAAATTTTGCGCTCAGATTGTGACTCTGGGCGCGCTTCGGCCGCAGACCGGAGAAAGAGCACAGAAAACACTTCCGGGCGCGCGGAACGCCCAGGTGCGTCAGATAACACATTGGGCGCGCGAGCGCGCGATTGCACCCAATTGGCCCGTCCCGGCGCGCGAGCGCACAATTGTGCTCGAATGCCCCCTTGAGGCGCGCAAGCGCGATTTGCACTGCCCGTTAGGTCGCTGCGCGAGCGCGGGATGACACACAAGACGCGAGAGCGCAAAATTGAGCACAGTTTGCTCGTTTGGCCGCACAAGCGCGACTTGCACTCGAATTGCCCGTTTGGGCGCGCCAGCGCAAATCTGCGCCCATGCGTCGCGCGAGCGAGATTGCACACAATTCGCCCGCGAGGCGCGCTAGCGCAAAATTGCACTCAGATTGCCCGCCCGGGGGCGCGCGAGCGCGAGATTGCATCCAATTGACCCATGCGGGCGCGCGAGCGCGAAATTGCACTCTGAATGCCTGTCTGGGCACGGGAGCGCGGATTGCACCCAATTGGCCCGTTCGGGCACAAATTGCTCCCAGATTGCCCAGTTGGGCGCGTAACAGGGAAATTGCGCACAGACTACTTCCTTTGGGCGCGTGAGCATGGAATCGCACTCCATTGGCAACGCTGGGCGCGCGGCGCCGCTGGGCGGCAAATTGGCGGCGAGGAAGGCGGATAGGCGACGAGGGCGCCAGCAAAAACACAAGAGCGCGCACTGCGCAAGGGCCCAAGCCGAGTGCGCCACGCGGGCAGGCACGTACGCAGGGACAGGCATGCTGGTTGCGCAGCGACCCTGGGTTTGCGCCGGGACCCTGTACGTCGACGAAGTGCGCGAACACCGCCGCAGAACGAGACGAAAAGCAGCGGGCACGAGGACCACCGGCAAACCGGATTGCCCGCAGGCCAAGCCCAAGGTGCGCGCGTCACGCAAACACTTCCTGTGGGCAACCCCGCTGGGAGAAAGGAGCCCGTTCCTGTTGGGAACACCCTGCCGGCTGGTACACACGGCAGGGAGTGCGCGTTACGCGCAAACAGGGACGCCTCAGTGGGCAGAGACCATGGGCGTACCCTGTTGGGAAGAGGCCCGCCCCCTGTTGGGAACCTTCTGCCGGCTGGTACGCTTGGCCAGCCACCAGCATGCAGGGGAGTGCGTGTTGCGCAAAACCGCAGACGAGGGCGCGGCGCCGATTGACAACGAGAAGCGGCGGGTTGGCGACGAGGAGCGCCGGCAGAGGCCCCGCAAGGCACAGGGTGTGCGCGTAGCGCAGGGACCCGAATGGGCAAACAGCCTGCGCGTACCCTGTTGGGCAGAGGCCCGTCCCCTGTTGGGAACCTTCTGCCGGCTGGTACGCTTGGCCAGCCACCGGCAGGATGGCATGCGCGTTGCGCAGGGACTCGGGCGTGCGCGTAGCGCAGGGACCCCGAGCAGGCACGCGGAGCGCGGGCAACCGGCGCGGAGTGGCGACGAGGAGCAGCAGGGTGGCGACGAGGGGCGGCGACGTGGCGACGAGGAAAGCCGGCCGCGCCGGCGAAAGCGACGCCCCAGGCGACCAGCGCCCGCGACCCGCAGGAGGGCGCGCCGGCCCGCCAGAGCGTCGCCCCGACGAGGCCGCGCGCGCCCAGGTCACACTGCACAGCCGTTGGCCTGCAGCGTAGCCACGCGGCTCCCACGGGAGCACTGGCCGATATTTGCTACCCCGCCTCGGGCCCGGGCGGCAAGGGGAGCGGAGACGCCGAAAGGCAACCGAATCACCGAATCCCCGAATGGGGACAGAAGCGGCCTGTGAGAATCTTCCTCCCCAGAAAATCTTCCTCCATCTCTCCAATGGGTTTGCGCCCTTGTGCGTACACAGGGCAAACACTAATCGCACGTCTGGCCGGCGATGTCTTGGGGCGAAAGCCACCAGCATCATCACCCCTAAGCTTTGGTTCTGGGGAGGAAGATTCTCACAGGCCGCTTCTGTCCCAATTCGGGGATTCGGTGATTCGGTTGCCTTTCGGCGCCCCCGCTCCCCTTGCCGCCCGGGCCCGAGGCGGGGTAGCAAATATCGGCCAGTGCCCCCGTGGGAGCCGCGTGGCTGCGCTGCAGGCCAGCGGCTGTGCAGTGTGGCCTGGGCGCGCGCGGCCTCGTCGGGGCGACGCTCTGGCGGGCCGGCGCGCCCTCCTGCGGGCCGCGGGCGCTGGTCGCCTGGGGCGTCGCTTTTGCTGGCGCGGCCGGCTTTCGCAGACAGCGACATCCGCGCCATGGTCTCTGCTGCAGGGCAGGGCGCTTTCGGCGGGAGCGGGAACGACAAGGTAGCTCAGCGGGTGCAGTTCGTGGCGTCTGTGCAGGATGCCCCAGCAGATACTCACCCGCTCATCTTCTACGCGGGCACGGCCCCGGGCGCTTGCCGAGCCCATTGGGTCAGTGGAGCCCACTGATTACGCAGAAGAGAAGATGCGTGATTTTGCCATCAGTAGCTTGCAAGTGAACGCTGTTCCTTTCGACCAGGACCAAGATGAGCAATGGAAAAACTTCAAGCTCAAACCTGCCCACATCACCTTGGCCCTCAAGGTCCAAACGAAGGCGATGCGTGAGTTCCCGTCGGGCTGCCCGGGCTCCAGCAGCGCCGCGGACCAGACTGCCCAGGCCATTGCAGAGTGGGCCAAGGTGCAAAACGCCAAGGCGGAGAAAGAAGCAAAGCGCGGGACGTTGAGCTTCAACTTGCAGGACAGGATCGCTGAAGTGGGGCTCCGGTGCGTCCAAGGAGATTTACTCCCCACAGAAGAGGCTCTTCTCCGAATGGAGAATCTCCCGTCGGCGAAGATTGCCAGGGATAAGGGCCGGAAATGGGTGGGCTCCTCTGAGGGAGAAGATCTGCTTGCGAACTTCCGCCCAGGCTTTTCGAAAACGCCTAAACTGGACGTCCTCGTGGGCAGCGGGACCATCGGTGACAAAGTCACGGAGGCCCGGGAAGCGAAGCGGGCCCGCACCATGGAGGAGCGGATCGGCTTTATGGGCTTCGCGAATTTTCTCGGTCACCTCCACGATTGGGGCACCAAAATGGTTCTCTCCAAGGTGATCACGCCCGTGCAGTACTGGGCGTACGAGATGCAATTGGTGCGCTTGTGTGAGGAGCGTGGCGGCACGAGGGTTGCGTTCTACAACGACCTGCTTCTCCGCCAGAAGCTGGCCCGTGCCCTCGAGCAGGGCCAGGACGACCAGGTCGAGGTCTTGCTGTGCAGGCTGGATCGCGACGTGCTGGAAGACGCCTCGCACAAGGTCAAGCAGCGCGCCGAGGAGGTCAACAGGGCCAACTCGAAGCAGACGAGCGGCCCGGCGTCATCGCAGGGGTTCGCGCCTTCGCAAGGAGGCAAGCCGGGAGCGCAGGGCAAGGGGGGCCAGAAAGGAGGCAAGCCAGACAAAGGCGGAAAGCAGAGCAAGCCCGCCAGGCCGGCCCCGACCACGCCCCAGCGCTCCAGGAGCCCGCCCAAAGGCAAGGGCACAGCTTCTGCGCAGTGGCACACCAAAGGCCAGGAGAAGAAGTGGTCCAGCTGGTGAAGTGAACCGGCGTCTGCCTCCAGCGAGGCGCCTTCGGGAGAGGGACAACCCCTCGGCGATGCCTCGGGCGTGTTTAGCGCCGGCGAAGGCTTCTCTGCTCTCTGTGGCGCTGTAGAGCACTTTTTAAGTGATCCTGTTAGATTAGCGGGCATGGACCCGTTTGCTCATTTAGACTGGGCGCTGCACCTGCCGCTGTGCACCGGGGAGTTTTCCATCCCTGAGGCGTCCAGAGATGCAATAAATTGGCATTCAGCCGACCCTAGCGCACTGTGCGAGTTCAGGTGGCGCCAGTTGAGATACTGGAAACACCGCCAACAGGTGACGGCGCTAGCGTGGCGCGACCAGTACGCGCGCTTGCCGGCGCACGTCCGTGCCATATTGGGGCCTGAGAAGAACTTGGCGTTGTTTTCCGAGATGCTGGAGGCCTCGGGCTCTCCAGACACTCACCTCGCAGCATCGCTCGCGCAGGGTTTTCCTCTAGCGGGGTACATCCCCCCGAGTGGCACCATGTGCTTGAGCGACGCTGTTAGCCACACATCGCCAGAGGAGCTGTTGGAGGCAGCGCCAGGCGCCAACGCTAGCATCCTGCAAAGAGTCCGAAACGCACCCGCAAGGGACGGTCGCGTTGCAGAAGGCCTCGAGGCCCGCATCCGGGCGGAGGTGGCGGCTGGACAGGCCGAGTGGCGTGATTTGCCATCGGATCTCTCGGGCGTGGTGTTGTCCCCTCGGTTCGCTGTGGACGAGGGCTGGAGCTTTCGCGATGGACAGTGGTCTCTCAAGGTCCGCGCCATCGATGACCTCACAGCTTCTGGGGTCAATGGCGCGACCACGGTCTCCGAACGCGTCGCCCACGAAACTCTCGATGATTTAGTGGCGGCGGCGCAGTGCCTCGTCGCTGGTGGAGCCAGCGCAGCGGACGTCCGCTTCCGCAAGGATGACGTCTGCGAGGCCTACAAAACTCTCCCGCTGCATAGTGAGCACCTCCCGTTTGCGGCCGCTGTGACGGCGGAGTCCGTCTCGCAGGATCAGTTCCTGCAGCTGTTCTGCTGTCCATTTGGGGGGAAGGCGAGTGTCCATGCCTGGCAGCGCGTGGGCGCGGCTTTCCAAGCCATACTTTTGCGTTTGTTTAGCATCGTGTATCCACGTTTCGTGGACGATTTGTTCGGCATTGATGCAGAGCAAGCGCACGAATGGGGTGATAGCGTCGTAGGCGCCGCCTCTTTAGCTAGATTCGTCATCCAGGACTTGCTGGGCTGGCGTCTTGATTCACATAAAGCAGCTACGGCAGCGTTGAGTTTTGTTGCGCTGGGCGTTCGTGTGTCCGTGGACGCAACCACAGAGTGTTTAAATTTTGTCGTGCCCAGCGACAAGTGCGCCAAGTGGCTGGCGGAAATCGCAGAGGTGCTCCGGGACCAGCGTTTAACGCCAGCGCGCGCGCAGAAGCTGGCCGGCCGGCTCAGCTGGGGGGCCACAGCAGTCTTCGGGAAGGGCGCGCGCGTCTATCTGGCGCCGCTCTTCCGGCACTCAGCCGGGAGAAGCACTCGCATCTCCAAGCGTTTGCGCTTTGCGCTCCTGTGGTGGCAGCGTTTCCTCAATTCGCAGCCAAGCAGGGCCGTCCCGCTGTCGCCATCGGTGAAGCCACGTTTGGTGGTGTACACTGACGCCTCGGGAGCAGGCGTGCTGGCTTGGGCGTAAGTTTTTCGCTTCAGCGCCAGTGCCGGGCTGGCTTGCGAGGTGGGCCTGCCCGCGTCAGCAGCAAATCCACACCTGGGAGCTAGTAGCTGCAGTGTGTGCACTCTGGCAGTTTTTCAGTCTGCCCGAAGGCGTAGCGGGGCTCGACGTTGTGATTTTTATCGACTCGACAGTCGCACTCGGGACGCTGCTCCGCGGGTGCTCCCGCCAGCGTGACTGGAATGCTATGGTGGCTGGCGCGTGGTTTGCTGCAGCAGACCGTGGCCACTTTTTAAGTGCATTCCGCGTGCCTTCACATTTAAATTTGGCAGACTGGCCAACTCGTCCAGAGCAGAAGGCATCGGAGTTGGCACAGCTGGTCTCTCGCGGCTTCGCTCGCCTCGAGTGGGCTTGGCCGGCAGTGGATTTCTGGCAGCAGAGGCGGTGACGGGCATGCATTCGCGAGGAAGAAAAAAGTGCAGTTGTTGATTCGTCAGCGTTTCTTGCCGCGTACTCCGGCGCACGGCCTCCCACGCAGTCATCCGTAGTCAGCTTGGCCCAACATGGCACTTGAGTTCATCAACCGCAAACGCGCGCGGCGGGCTTTGGGCGATGGCGCTTCGGACCCTGGGCCGCCAGAAGAAGCATGCTCCCATGATGTGGTGCCGCATGCTCTTGCACAGTGGTTCACAGGGGTGCTTCGGCGCACGCCGCCGCGTTACCACCCGGCATCGCCTGACAATGTGTTGCGCGCTCTCGCCAGTGGCGGGGCCGTGGCCGGAGATGACTTCAACGACATGAGTGTGCAGGAACTTCGGGACGTCTGGCCGTGCCTCCGAGAGCTGGCCAGTGAATTCTTGGCCATTTTCCCTTCCGGGAGGCGCTCTCCTGTGGCGCCGCCGGCAGGGCACTCCCAGGGCAGCGGCGGCCCGAGCGGCGAGGTCGCATCGCCTTTGGTGGAAAGCGCCACGCCCGCAGGGCCAGAAGGGGGCGAAGCTGAAGCTGCCCTTGCTGCTCTTGGCTTCTTGGCCGCAGCTCGCTTTCGGAGGACTTTCCTGGAACCCAAGGACTTGGCCGACGCAGTGCAAACGCTGGGCCGCGTTACGCCTGAACAGCTCCAAGTGGCATGGGCTCGGCGTCACGGAGGCGCAGGGGGCAACCCGAGAGAGCGTGCTTTGCAACTGGTGGGCCATATGTCTGAGTTTGCAGCGACGCAGGAGCTTTTGAGACGAGAGCTCTGCGGGTGGCATCGGAGTGCTTACAAGTATGCGTCCGCAGTGCGGCTTTGGGGCCAGGTAGCCAAGGGCCTCGGAGTGCCGCCGTGGCCGCCGACAGACAGCGTGCTGGGGGCCTTTGCTTTCGCAGTGCAGAACGGCAACACGCTGATGACGTACTGCACCCAGGTCCGGGCGGCCCTGCGGTTGGTCCGGGTCCCTCTGGGGTGTTTGGAAGACACGTCAAGTCTGGCACGGGGGGCCGCCAAAACGGTGCCCGGCACGAGCCGCTTTCGAGCGCGGGCCAGTGCGCACGACGCCCGCAGCGTTGCTGGCCACGTGCGGGAGGTGCTCCGGGACCCTCTGGTGGCGGATTCCTTCGTGGTCGCCAGACATTTCTGTCTCCGTTTCGCGTCGGAGGTGGCGCCTCTGGAGGACGACGGGCCGCACTCCAGGGTCGTGCTCTCGGTCGACGGGGGCTTGCCCAAGGCGTGCATCTACTTGCACAAGCGCAAGATGCACACAGAGACAGTGGTGGTGACGAGGCGGTGCATCTGCGTTCTCCAGTCGCGGCAGCTGTGCGGGGTGTGCGTCCTGCAGCGCCGGGCTGGGCGGGGGCGCCTCTTCCCTGGCCTGTCCTACAGGGCGGCTCTGGCCACGCTGAAAGCATCGGCGCTGGCGCTCGGCTTCGAGCGCGCGGCCGAGTGGGGTACACATGCCTTCCGCAGAGGCTGGGCGGACGAGTGTTTAGCGGCGGGCGGCGTGCCGGCGCTCTTCCACAGTGGAGGCTGGCGTGGCGTCGCTGCGTTCGGCTACGCCTCTGCCGCCTCCAGAGACGCCATGACTGCTGCGGAGTGGCCAGTGGAGTTTTCGGACTCGTCTGCGTCCGACGGCGCGCCGTGAGCAGTGGAGACTGTGAAAATCATCGTCGGGTCTGTGCCATCATCAGTGCTGCTGTGCTCTCGTCGTCAGCAGTGGGGTTGGGGTCCGGGTCGCCGAGAGCCCCAGCATTGGGTCTCGAGGGCTCCTTGGGGTCTCTCGTGCTCCCCTGCCCGGCTGCACGCTGTGCGTCGCCCAACGGTCCGTGCGAGCGCACAGGACCATCCCAGAGGAGAGCGGCCGCACGAGAATCTTCATCATCCCTAAGCTTTGGTTCTGGGGAGGAAGATTCTCACAGGCCGCTTCTGTCCCCATTCGGGGATTCGGTGATTCGGTTCTGGCGGGCCGGCGCGCCCTCCTGCGGGCCGCGGGCGCTGGTCGCCTGGGGCGTCGCTTTTGCCGGCGCGGCCGGCTTTCCCGCCCGCCCTCCCTGGGGTGTCTTGTGTGCTAGCCGGGCTGGGTCTCGAGGGCTCCTCGGGGTCTCTCGTGCTCCCCTGCCCGGCTGCGCGCTGTGCGTCGCCCAACGGTCCGTGCGAGCGCACAAGACCATCCCAGAGGAGAGCGGCCGCACGAGAATCTCCCCGGCCAGAGAGCGCAAAAAACCCAGAGGGCGGGAGGGCGGGGAACAAAGACGCACCCCACATGCAGCCGCAACTGGAACACTCGGCGGTGCGAGAATGGCGCTCAGCGGCGCCTGACAAAGACAATCTGCGGCTACAATTTGGGCGCCAACCTTGAACAACAACACAGCAGCAGCGACGGGGGGCCCACGAGCTGGCCTTCGAACTTGAACAACACAGAGCACCCAGCACCAGAGGCTCGAGAGGCAAACCCCCAACCTCCAGCATCGGGCCCCGCCAGCTCCCGCGGAGCCACCAAGTGCGCGAGACGGGGCCACCTGCTCTCTCGGGAGAGCACGACGCGCATAAGGCAGAGCCGCTGGCCCTCTCAGGAGGGCACCAAGCATATGAAACAAGAGTGCTTGTCCATTATGGCACCTGGGCCCCAGTACGCAAACCAAAGCCCCCACAGGCCAAGAGGATAAGAGTGGATGACGATACGCTCCGTCGTCATATTTTCCTGCCTCCCAAATCGCTTCGCGATTTGGAGGCTAAGAAAATCTTCCTCCATCTCTCCAATGGGTTTGCGCCCTTGTGCGTACACAGGGCAAACACTAATCGCACGTCTGGCGGGCGATGTCTTGGGGCGAAAGCCACCAGAATCCCTGTGCACCCC